TATTTGATCATATGTATTCCATATGATACAATTGCTTATTTAATTTCTTTTAGATCAGTCATACATATGGATTCCCATGTATATTCTTTGACTACCTTAGGATATTTGGTGTCAGATGCTCTTTCTGATGATATCACCAGAATGGCAGGTAGAACTCTGGGTAAGTTATCCCAGAGTTTGGTACGTAATGATGAGGTTACATTTTGTCTTTGTATCTTTTGTATCTAGTCATCAAATTTGATAAATTCCTCAAGCTTTTCAAATCTTTTACCACTGCCTTTTGTGAAGTCTGGATCTCCTGTCCAGTGTTCTGTTCTAAAGCCATCATTGAGGATTCTAAGGTATGAAGTCTGTCCTGTAGAGATAATGTCTCATCCTTGGACAAAATTTTTATAGCATGCATATTACAATCCTGGAGACACATTCTAGCAGTCAGTCTATCATAACCGTTTGATAGAGTCTGATTAATATGGTCCGGCATTGTCTCAGCACCCTCTGTCATTGACCGGGTTTTGTTTGCCAAATTGATTGTATCATTGTCCAGAGTGCTGACTTTCCCTTTTTTTGGTCATTATCAGTCTAAAAAGACTGTATTATTTCTAACAGTGCCTCATTCCTAGCCCTATTATCAAATCATATTTTTAAGGAAGAAATATGAAGAACAAAGCTAATCCCTAGAATCAAATAGAGGGATGTAGGAGGGAAATCATTTAAAACTTGCATAACATCATACATGGTATAAGTAAAAAAGCTATTGAAGTCTTGGATTGTTAAATTGTCCATCATCTTGTCATTTTAAAATATAAATTTATATTTTAAATTATAAATCCTATCTGTGGTTGAGTTTGGGTTGGAGTAGGTACAATAACCATTACCTACCAGTAGGTGTTGCAGCACACGTGTAGCAGAGAGGCTGGCTTGAATCTGATCTTAGTGTTAAATAATGGAAGATATGCTCAAATTAAAAACAATTATTCAGTGTTAATCACAGATTTTATGTTCCGCAGAAGTCCCTGACTGGGCAGCAACCACATAAGCACAAAGCTAGCAAGAAAGCAATGCTAACAGAGACACCCAGGGAACCACACATCCTGTCTGAGCTTCAGCGAGTGCCAGAAAACCTGGATCCTGAAGCCAACTGTGCAGTTGCAGGTGGCCAAGGTGCCTGAGGACTTGGAGCAGCTCTGAGACTTTCAATGAAAAAATATAAAGGACCATAGCTAGCAGCTCAGGGCCACTGTACAGGAATTCTATACCCAAATGAATGGTGTGGAACCTAACGGCAGCTGGGTAAAACTGCTAAAGACCTGAGCCCTACAATTTGGTGCCAACTATAGAAGTTAGTTCAATTTGGGAAATAACTAGTATAGCTAAAATATAAACACTTTCAGTAATGTAGCAGGATAGAAGATTAACTAAAAAAAAACAGGAGCTCTCCTGTACATAGATAATAAATGGGCTGAGAAAGAAATCAGTGAAATATCATAATAGCCACAAATAGTATAAAATATCTCAAGAGTAAGTCTAACCAAACAAGTAGGCTAATTCAGTTTTTATTTTAGGTGGGTCTCATTGGGTAGATAGTTTATACTGGCAAAGCATGTTTATGCCTCTGCATGCAAAGGGCATGTCATCCCAGTGGGCTAATAAGAGTCATGATTCCAAGGTCAGCCTGGACTTCAAGAGCATGGGATGGTTAAGCAGGTAAAGGTGCTTGTAGATCAAGCCTGACAGTTTTGGTCCTTAAGACCCACAGGTTGAGAGGACTAGGTCCCACAGACTGCTATCTTACTTTTGCACAGTACTATGTAGGTACAGGCACAAATACAAGAATAATAAACTAAATCTTAAAAGAAATAAAAAGGGATGAGAGATGATTCAGTACTTTGTACTTTTTGAAGAAAACACAGTTCAGTTTCCAGCATTCACATGGTGGCTCAAATCTGTAACTCCAAAGTTTTAGGAGACCCAACCCCCATTTTTTCTAATGGACAGTGCCCTCATATGCAGAAAGGTACCCATGATGTGGAAATACCTTCAGGAGAGCATAGTGGCAGGAGCAATTAATGTGTAAGATCTCCTCTTCTTCTCTCATGCCTCGAAGCAAGCTTCAGTAGCTGCCTCTGCAGCTAGGTCATATGGCCTGGTAGGGTGTCTGCCCATGAGCTCTAGGACTTCCTGGCTGCAAATCAGGTGGAGAAATGTATTATCAAGGCTCTCGGTTTGAATCCTAGTGTGGAGACACAGAGCTGGCTTAGAGTGCAGGCTCCTCCTGGGACAGATGAGATGAACCTGGGAAATGGTTGCTTGGCAAACCAAGCATAGATGAAAGCAAACTTTCTCAAACGTTCTGTCGGAATCTGTACCCTGGATAGGGAAGTGGCCTTTGAGCCCAGTTTTTCATGCTCTACCAGTTACAAAGGAGTGCTTTGCTTCTGTATACTTTATGCCTTGTTTCTATGTACTTCTTTTCATTTTTATTACTGTGATTAATTGAGGTATTGTTTCTTGCAAGGTGAGGCAAGAGTTTCTCATGATCATGTACGTGAGTTAAGGGGGGTTTCAGAGTTGAGGTAATGCTTTTTAGTCTGTATAAAAATCCATACAAAATAAAGTTTGTTATGCAGTTGTTCACACTCTGCATCCCGTGTCCTCATTTGCACGAGACCCTTACCCAGGGACCGCAATGCACTAGACGTTGACATCCTAGCACCTCCCCAAATAGATAATATCTCTGTAAATATGTGTATAATTATGTACTTGTAAAGATTTTTAACACATTTTATTTCCTCTGTGTGTATCTGCAGGTGGGTGTACACATCACAGTACAGAGATGGTAGTCAGAGATTTCCTTGAGAACTGGTTCTCTTCTACCATCATATGGGGAGAAAACTTAGGTCACTGGTGTTGGCATCAGGCCACATAATTGGCTGTCCCAGCTTGTTGACTCTAACTGTACATTTTATGAACTATGGGAGTATGTTTGTGGTATGTATCTGAGAGTGGTATACTGATGTGTAGGGCATATGTGATGCATGTGTCAGTATGGTTGCCATCGTTGCATGTGTGTTTGGAGAAGTCTTCATGGGTGTTTGGGTTTGTGGGAATCCTTGGAGCCAGAGGTGTTGTAAATGCACCTGTAAATGCCTGTGTAAAGCTCTGGTATGGCAAGGTTGGCCAGCCAAACTTATCAAGCTCATTTCACCTATCTTGGTTCTACCCACTTCAGCACTTGTAGTTCCCTTTCCCAGCCTCTGTCCTGTCCACTGCTGAACTTTTCTTGGATGTGGCCCTGTACAACCTACCCATCAGTAGTGGCTCCACCCAATGTGATGAATGCCCCTATCCAAATCCTCCTCCTAAGTTCCCCAAACTTTAACACCCATCTATGTCTCCAACCTGATCTAACCTGTTTGATCCTCCAGCTGCTTACACCACCCTTCCCAACCTGTTGCTGTGCCCACAGCAGCATCCCAACATTCCAGACCCCCTCTTTGGTCCCATCTGTCACAGGCCCCATCAACCTTTCACAGTCTATACAGGACATCTTAGCAGCAGAGGGAATTATAATGTGAGAAGAAACCTAAGGCATTAAGGCAACTTTATGTAACTTGCTTGTGCCTTCAGGATATGCTCAGCCAAATCATAAATATATCACTTCCATTTAATAAGTGGTGTGGGAGAATTATCTGTATTCTGTCAATCATGTATTTTAATAAAACACTGATTGGCCAGGCAGGAAATATAGGCGGGTCAACCAGACAGGAAGTAGAGGCGGGGCGATGAGAACAGGAGTATTCCAGGAAGGAGGAAGCCATTCCTCCATTCCTGCCCAGACCACTGAAGAAGCAATATATGAGCTGACAGCTGGAAAGGTACCAAACCATATGGCTAACGTAGATAAGGATAATGGGGTAACATAAGTTATAAGAGCTAATAAGTAGCCTGACCTAATGGATCAATCAGTTTATAATCTTATGGAGTCCTGTGTGTGGTTTTCCTTGGGGTGTGCCGGTTGTGGGGTACTGGGCGGGACAGAAGCCCCAACAAGCAGGCCCCATCATGTTACAAATAAGAGATTGATGCTGCAAAGTCCTAATTTATGGTTTAATGGGACAGATAATACCCATCTTCTGATGGATGGGAAGCTCAGGCTGGATGGTAACATGGTGGCCCATTGTCAAATGTTCAGTTTTCACTTACGCTGAAAAGCAGGCCAATAGCTGTCTCTTAAAGCAAACATTTGTGTACAGATGGTGGTGAGCTGTATTCCAATATCCCAAAGATCTGTTCTAGGACTCAACAGTAGAGAACCAACAAATGCTCCTAAGAGCATCCCTATCTGCCACTGACACTTCAAGTACCATAGAGCCTGTTGGATCATATGATTCAAGTGATAGAGCAGCCTGCACAGCACCCTGGACCAGTTGAAGAAGTTTTTCCTATTCCATGACCCACACAATACTAGCAACTTTCTGAGTCACTTGATACATAAACTGGAATAACACGCCCAAGTGAGGACTGTGCTGTCTCTAGAATCCAAACAGGCCCACTAAGTGTTGTGCTTCTTTCTTAGTGGTAGAAGGGGAACAAGTGCTATAACTTGTCCTTCACCTTAGCAGGAACATCTCTGCATGCCACACAGAACTAGACTCCTAAGAATACTAATGAGGTAGAAGGCCCTTGGTTTTTGGTTGGATTTATGTCCCATCCTCTACTGGGCATGTGTTACATGTGTTACTAAAGAGTTCAATGTGGTTACTACCTCCTGCTCACTTGATCCATTCAATATACTGTCATCAATATAGTACAGCAATCTGATATTTTGTGGAAGATAAGCACAGTTATAAAGATCCATTTGCTAGTTAATAATTTCAGACCTTTATCCTGTACATAAATCCACTGCAAAGGTTAATCCTCTTGTGCCATAATACTATAGGAGACAATGCAATGGGAGAAATAAGTTTCAAGGCAGTGAAGAATACAAAATACACAAATGCTTCACTTGTTAAAATTCATATAACTGCAATTATTTTTGCCTCTCAGGATAATTTGTAAAGACAGTACAATGGCATTTCTCCTTCTATAGTTTTAAACAGATTGGTTAGTGTACAATTAGATGCATTTTGATTTTGATGACATTGGAAATAACATTTGGAGATCCTGGAGCTAAGAAGTTATTCATAAATGAAATTAGCTTTTTCACTGACTGCTGTAAATCATTAAAGAACTGGGTGCTGAGAACTGAGCCTGGGTCCTTGGGAAAAGCAGACATCTTTTCAGATTCTTTTTTGAGACAAGTTCTCTATACCTATGACCATCCTGGAACACAATATCTAACCCAGACTGGCCTCAAAACTCAGATCCTCTTGACTTTCTCTTCCAAATTCTGGGATTATAAGACTATAACACTATACCCAGGAGAGATGTTTTTTAAAAATGACCCAACTTTGAATCAGACAATGCAAGGATAAGATTTAAACAAGAAGCATCACATTTTTAAAAAAATAAACAGTGATGGTTCTAGGAATTTTTCAATGAATTGATTTCAAGGATATATCATTTCTATTTTAAAACATTTTTAACTCTGGCTGGGTGGTGGTGGCATATCTTTAAGCCCTATACATGGGAAGCAGAGAAACATGGATATCTCTGAGACTGAGGTCAGCCTCATCTACAGAATGAGTTTCAGGGCTATGAAGCCTTCACTGCTGAACAATGTCTCCAAAAATAAGAAGGAATTACTGTGTATAAACAACAGTGCCATGGTGTCTACGTGCCAGTCAGAGGACAACTTACAGGTATCTGGTCTCTAGTTCCTCTGTGTGAGTACTAGAGATCAAACTAGGGTAGTCATGCTTGGCAGTTAAGTGCCCTAAACTGGTGAACTCACTGGCTCTGATTTCAGCTTCAAAATTTGTTATGTGCTGGTGTGTTAGTGTGCATACAACACAAGTGCAGTAATCAGAAAAGAAACTTGTAGGAGAAATGTGGGTCTCCTAGAGAATGAATTCTGGTTATCAGGCTTAGTAGTGATCACATTTACTCACTGGTAAAATTCTCTGGCATTCATTGGTGAGTTCTGAGAATATATAAAGAAGAAGTATTTAGTCCCCAGAATAAAGTAACAATTCAAACATAATGGATGACAGCATAAATAGGGTTTTCATTTGCAAATGGGTTTTTGTTCAAATTATCCCATATTCTTGGAATACAATATATTCAAGAGCTTTACCATATTAATTATATCCATAAGGTTTCTCTCCAGTATGACTTCTTTCATGTATTTTAAGATGACTTTTATAAGCAAAGGTTTTACCACAGTGATTACATTCATAGGGTCTCTCTCCAGTATGACTTCTTTCATGTGTTTGAAGATGACTTTTATAGGCAAAGGCTTTCCCACAATGATTACACTCATAGGGTTTCTCTCCAGTATGACCTCTTTCATGTGTTTGAAGATTACTTTTACATGCAAAGGCTTTACCACATTGACTACATTCATAGGGTTTCTCTCCAGTATGACTTCTTTCATGTATTTGAAGATTTCTTTTACATGCAAAGGCTTTACCACAGTGATTACATCCATAGGGTTTCTCTCCACTATGCCTTCTTTCATGACTGAGAAGATGACTCTTCTGTGCAAAAGCTTTACCACATTGATTGCATACATTATGTTTCTCTCCAGTATGAATTCTTTCATGAATTTGAAGATCACGTTTCTGTCCAAAGACTTTACCACATTGATTACATTCATAGGGCCTCTCACCAGTATGACCTCTTTCATGTGTTTGAAGATTACTTTTACATGCAAAGGCTTTACCACATTGGTTACATTCATATGGTTTCTCTCCAGTATGACGTCTTTCATGTATTTTAAGATTACTTTTACATGCAAAGGTTTTACCACAGTGACTACATCCATAGGGTCTCTCTCCAGTATGAATTCTTTCATGTATTTGAAGTTGATTTTTATAGGCAAAGGCTTTACCACAGTGATTACACCCATAGGGTTTCTCTCCAGTATGGGTTCTTTCATGTACTTGAAGATCATATTTATGTCCAAAGGCTTTAGCACACTGACTACATTCATAGGGTTTCTCTCCAGTATGAATTCTTTCATGTCTGAAAAGACGACTCTTCTGTGCAAAGGTCTTATCACATTGATTACACTTATGAGGTACCTTTCCAGTAGGGGTTCTTTCACGTATTAGAAGATAACTGGTGTGTGCAATGGCTGTATTACATTGACGATATCCATGTGTTTTCTCTCTGGTATGAGGTCTACATACTTGATCAGGATTGTGACATGGAAAGGCTTTAATACTTTGATTATATCCATAGTTTTTTACTTCTAAATGAGTCCTTTGATGTACTTTCAAAGAGAAATCAGATCCAAATATTTTATCATGTTGCTTACATTCATAAAGATCCTCTTGAGTATTGAATATTTGTGTGTCTTTGAAGATGATGTACCTATCAAAGGAAGGATAAAAAACAAAATGTTTTCACATTGCATTCACATGGTCTAACTTTTTATGCCTCATGAAGAAGTGGTGTATGGATTAGGGTTTCTCATGATAACAAGATCCTTGACTCTCATAAATTGTTCCTTTCATTAAACTATAGTAAGTCCCTCACTACAAGGATTTGAGGACTACTAGTAATAATAAGGACAATTTGCTTATAACAGGTCTTGGTCATAAACTAAATCCTTTGTCAATGTGTATTCCTTTTACAATACTTGATGGGCATGAAACTATGTGGATGGTCAATTATACAACAAGCCTCTCATATGTCTATTATTGAAATTGTGACATCTATTATGGCATTGTTTCCTTGTCTTCTTTCTTAAAGAAATGCTTTGCAAACAATGATCAGCACCTGACATTAGAGTACAAGGTGTTGTGAGAATTTAATAAGCATTGTAAAGCTGTGCTTATTTACACTACTGGTTTTTATTAAAAGTGTAGGATACCTCAACATTTTTTCAGAGGTACCTGGTACATATGTATCAGCTTGCATGTGAAAATTACCTTTCATGTCTTCTAGAACTTTGATCATATTCTTCAGTATTATGGTCTTCCCATTTGTAGCCTAAAATACAGTACCAAGAATATATTACATAATATTAGGCACAATTTAAATTTCTATCTTCAGGGAACTTTAGAACAATCCCTAATTTATTCACTGGATTCTTCTTCCACAGTCAAAATCACGGAGAGCACCAACCAGCAAAAAAGGCTTGGCCCCTTAGGTTAAAAAGTGACAGAAAGCTCATATTCTTACCTATAGAAGTGAGGTTCCAGTAGGTTTCCAGCATCACATCTTTGTAGAGACTCTTCTGGGAAGGATCCAGCAAAGCCCACTCTTCATGCGTGAAGTTTACATGCACATCTTCATAGGTCACTGCATCCTAAAATGTCCCATAAGTATATAATGGAAATGTTGAAATTGACTTCATTGTAAATGTATACTTCATTGAGAATATAGTTAGATAACTCTGTGTACTCAATGTATTCTATGACATAGGTCATAGAATTTCAAATACAATAACCAATTCATTTTAGAAGGAGACTGAAAAGGAGGATGATGCCTTCTCTTTCTGTGACCACCAGATAGAATACGGCATTGCAGGAGAACTGCCGAGTAATACCTACAGAGAAACTTATAAACAGAGTAGCACGATTCAGTACACAAACTCAGAAAAATTTTATCAAAATGATTAACTTTAAAAGGATAGGTGTGGTGGTGCACACATATAACCCAAAACCTCAGGAGAAGAGACACATGAATCTCTGTGATTTCCAAGTCAGTCTGGTCTATGAAGAGCTAGCCAAAACAGCCAAAGGTACATAGTGAGACTCTGTTTCAAACAAACAAAAACAGAAAACACTCAGGGGCTCACTCAAAATTCCTACATAGAATTAGAACATCCATTCCAATTCTGAACCTGTTCATCATAAACTGGAAAAATTTCTTTTAAACTGTAAGGCTAATAATTCCTAGAAAGGAAGGCATTTTTAAGAAGTTACTGACTGACAGGTAAAAGTAATTAAAAATGTTAGTAAAACAAATGCTGATCCTGAAACAATAAAAAATAGCAATACCTATAGAGAAAGAGATTATAAAGATGGGCCAACAAATAAGATCACCTACTGCTACTGAAGACAACTGGAATCAATCCCCAATACTCACTTGGAGGCTCCTAAACATTTTAAACTCCAGGTCAAGAGATTCCAAAGCTCTCTTCTGACTTCACTAAATACCAGACAGACGAATGGTACACAGCCATGTATATAGGCAAATGATTCACATATTTGAAAATTTTAAAAATGGAAAAACAATCACAAAGGAAGGGATGCTGTTACACACCTGTAATTCAGTGATTCAGGAGATCACTATCAATTTCATGACTGCATGCATTCTTTGTCTGAAAAATGACACCCTCTATCAAAGTTCAAAAGGCATGACGTGGGCAAACCTCAGTACAAGAGGAAATACTTGACATGTACAAAAATCTAATTTTTGCAGTCAAAACTATAAGCATAAAAATATCAGGCAAGAAAAATGGATCAGCAAGGGAAAGCAATTGCTTCTACTTTGCCTTCCATTCTTTAGGAACATCTAAGGATGGTGTTGGGATGGCTGCAGGAGAAGAAGGCTGCTGAGTTTCAACCACACAAAATATGGGTGAGGGGATAAGCACTCAAAGCTACTCCCCAGAGACTACATTCCTCCAGAAAGGCTCCTCCTCCTCAGGGTTTCTTAAGTCACTCATGAAGGCCACACAGCAAAGACAAATGCACAAATACAATATACTATCTGGAAGATTTTTCATTGAACAGCCAAAACATGAAGCAAAATACATTTAGTAGAGCTTTAAAGATAATCATATGATATAACAGTCCCTGCACTGTTCAAACATGCAAAGTTTCTTCTGACACTCAAGGCAATCGCTTAACTGTGACATCTTGTAATACGAAAACACAAATTATAGCTATCAAACACAAGTATTAAGAAAAGATTGGACCAAACAAGTCCAAAACCTTGCAGGGTAATCTTAAATCCTGCAGCTCTGTGTCAGACACCTGGGGCTTCATTTCCAAAGGGCTTACACGGCTCTTTCTCACTAGAACTTCTCATCTCTCGCTCTCTCTCTTTGGCCACTTCTACTTCCTACATACAGCTTTTAATGGCAGGTTTCTTAAAGTTTGGGTATTTGAATATATTGTAACATCAAAATGGAACTGAGGCTGTATCTCATGCCTCCATGCAAGTAAGTCTCAGTTTCTTCACGGAAGCCCAGGACCCACACTAAGATTGCAGATTTTTATTATCAGTGAGGCAGGGTGTCCTGTAGCTCCAAGTGATACTGAATCCATGTGCAACCAAGACAGCTCAGCCCTGACCTTGATCTTCCTACCTTAATTTCCAAGTGCTAGAATTACAGGCACAATCCACCACTCTGGGATATAAGGCTCCAGCTTTTTGAAGTGATTAGAGTAGCGTTCCCTCTTTAAGTAACACAAAGGAAATAACAGTTGACCGTTCCCGGCAAAGAGAAAACCAGGGGTAATGTGCTAGTGCGCTGGATAAACAAAGCACTGAAGCATGGTTACAGCAGCGCCAACAGAGGGCTAGGAAAACGGTGGATTGGGAGGAGCTGATTCTCCACGGCTCTTCACTGTCAGGCCTTCACTTTTGAGACTACATATGTATACAGGACATGACCTAAATTGTTGTTTAGACCTCTCAAGCTTTACACTGGCACAGTGGTTGAAGAGCACTGCCTGCTCTTCTAGAGGATACGGTTTGATTCCTTGAAACCTCATAGTGACTCGGTGATCATTAAATACAGTCCCAAAGGACTCAGTGCCCCCTTCTGGCATTCTCTGACTGCAGACATGCATGTGGCACATGGACACACAGGCAGACAAAACACCCATACATATACCATAAAGCAGTAACTTACAAAAGAAGATCAGACTAAACAAAATGTCTGGAGAACTAGAGAATTTGGGATGATTAGATTCAGAACACTCTGGGCCAAGCAAGTAGCTCAGTGGTTACCAGCACTTCACATTCCTCCAAAGGACCTGGGTTTGGTTCCTAGCAACCCATAGTGGCCCACAACCACCTTTAACTCCACTTCTAGGGGATCTGACTCTTCTGGTCTCTTTTGGGCACTAGGCACACGCACTGTACACAGGCATATAAGCAGGCAAAACACTTATACATAGAAAAATTAAAACTAAGCCCTACTAAAAAGAAAACAATTAAAGGGCCTAAAGATGTGGCTCAGTTGGTGGCACAGCATGCATGAAGCCTTCAGTTCAATTCCTATTTCTTAAGAGGGGCAAGGACCAGGATATCTGTAAGCCCATCTCTTCAAAGTTGGAGGTAGAAGGATCAGAAGTCAAGGTCATTCTTGGGGACATACGGAGTTTGTGACCAGCCAGAGGTATATGAGACCCTACCACTTCAAGAAACAAGAACACAAAAAGAATCATATAAGAATACTCCAGGAAAAAGGAGAACAAAGGGTTTGGGATGCATGTTACAAGAGAATTGTGAAAGGCCACAAATATGGAACAGGTATTGATTCCATTCATACTTAAAAGAAATGTCAACCTGGGTATGGGAACTGTCTTCTGCAAGCTCTACGTGCACAATTACATGAGACATCTTTACATCCCGTGGAAACTTTCAGTATAGTGCCTTCAACTTGTGATTGTTATTACCAGAAGACACGTACATGTTTATCTTGGAGGAAGAAGACTTGTAGTATACCCAGAAATGGCTGTTTCTAAATGAAACAGGAATTTACTGTCCACAGGCAAGAGTCCATAGGACCAAACGAACAGCCTTTGCTTGTCCAGTTACACTGGTCATAGCGCTATAGACTTAGGAGTGGCTCTAAAATTAAATTTTGAGTATTAGGCTAAATACTACAACCTACACAACAGAGGTCTCACGAAAATAAAGTCTTTTGTGAAGGTATTTGTCGGGTAGGCATGGATACCTGACATCCACGATCTTATGAACAGGGAGGTGGAAACAGGATGTTCAAGGTCAGCCTTAGCCATTGAAGATCTAATCTTAAAAAATAAAACAAATTCCCTCTATAGTGAACTATTTTAGTTCCAACTGATTAAAAGGAGCTTTCGGAGAAACGCAGAAATAATGTTACATAAAAGCACTACATTTTCAGTACAAGAATTATCTGTTTATTAATACATATCATACATCAACTTGATATCTTAATCCCATCACAATACAAAAATATATTCTTTTTTCCTGTCTAGACATTAAAAATTTAGTATTGTATATATTAGCGTGATGAATGTATGTGGTATGCATGTTGGGGCAGGCACACAAGAGTGCCACAGTGAGAGTTTGAAGATCAGAGAACAACATTAAGAAATCAGTTTCTCCATTCACCAAGGGTTCTGAGGATCAAACTGTGGTCATCGGGCTTGCACACAGAGCGCTTTTCAATGGAGCCACCTCATCAGCAGTATCTGATCAAATTCTAACTCACAGATGGTCTCACTCCTAATCTTAAACATATTTCTACTTTTTGAGTGCTTCTTGCCACAAGAGCTCTTTATAGCTCTGACTGGCCTGGAACTCACTACTTGGATGAGGTTAGTCTTGAACTTCCTGCACCTGTCTCTAAAATACTATGATGACAGGTGTGAGCCCTCATGCTCAGCTACTTAAATGTAACGACTAAATCAGAGCAAAATACAGAAATATATGGCAATTTCTTGAAGAACAAAAATAAAGTGAAAGTGACAGATTAACTTTAAAATCTTTTAACTCTAGTTATGGACTGTCTAGCCGTGTAAAAGGCATAACCATTTGGCCTTCTATCGGCCTAGGAAAACTGTATTTTATTTTTCAATGATACACTGTAGAACTTGCAAATATGCCCAACTGAATTCTTGGTATTATAATGAGGAAATTATTCTGTGTTTTTCAGGCCATGTCTCATTCTATGCTCTGGTCTAGACTGAAGCCTCCTGCTTCAGCTTTTCAAGTATTGGAATTAAAGGTGTGGCGCACATGTCTGGCTCAAGGACATTCTGTAGGAAAGCTGATGCAGTAGCAGACTCTTTGCCTATCATGTGTGAATCCCACCGGAGAAATTAATAAATGTGGCCTCATTGCTCTTCTAGTATGCCCACCAATTTCTAACATCTATTTGCCAAACAAAAGGGCGGCCTCATTTGTAAAAGGAACACTACTACAATTTAAATCAAATATTGTTACCCACACCCTGATAGTGGGAGACATCAACACCCCACTCTCACCCATGGACAGGTCATCCAGACAAAAACTAAACAGAAATACTGGAGCTAACAGATATTATTAACCAAATGGACCTAACAAACATTTGTGTTTCCAGTG